CCGTAAATCAAAAAAAGGTTTACTGTTATTTAGTTTGGTTCAATACCTACAAAATCTTAATTGTTTTCACTGTTATTCATTTTTTTATTATTTAGAGGGCATTATAAATAGGTATGTTTTTAATAGAAAAAAAACTACTATTGTTATAAATAGCACATCCAATTGAACTAAACTATCATACCTATTTAAGTATATTTACACGTGGCTTGTGTATATCGTATATATACATATATATTATTCATACCTTCAGTGTATAAGACGCAAGCAGATTTTGACATCAAATTTTGGGGTAAAAAAGTGCGTCTTATACACTGAAAAATACGGTATTCATTTATTTTACAGTGGTCATAGCAGATATCCCGTTGTACAGATTTTTGCTTAACAACAAAAAGTTTAGGGAAATGTTAACCGTAATCCTTTTCATAACGGTTTACACATAAGTAAAGTAAAACTGTCAATTATTGGCAAATTAACTATTTAATGAACCGATAACATGAATGAAATAGCTAATCCTGGGTTAGTTAAAGTTTTTGCAGGTTTTGGAAGTGGCTTAACGGTATGATGAGAGCTTATAATAATACAATTTGCGATTCGATCATAATATCAATACTTTTGCTTAGTTTCAACTGCTTTTTTATTTCAAGACCAACTAGTCCCCCGGTGGGACATAGATAAGTCTTTGGATTTACAATGCTAAAATAAAGGGTTCGATTCCCTTCGGTGGACACAGTAGATAGCCCGATGTGACTTTGTCTTCTATAAGAAAACACACAAGAACAACTGAATATTAACTTGCAGAAAATACAATCTAACATAATGTTTAAGGAAAACAAGGGACCTACTGGTCCATCTTTAAACTAAAACTATGAAATAAATGAATGAAATAAAAATCTTAAAGCCAGCCTTTATCATTCATATAATTATCAAACTTTCTCTTAATCTCACATAAATTTATTGCCTCCACAACATCCGAAGGCAACACATTCCAGAAGCCAACTACCCTGTTAGAAAAATAAAATTTGCCAAAATTTGTATTTGTGTCCCCTAGTCCTACTGTTCTCGCCATTATAAGTTAAATGTAATAAGAAGAGGAATGTAGATGACAAGAAAAGAACTTTTGAAGTTCAGAAGATTTAGAGTAGGAAGATAAATACTGTTACGTCTCCGTTTGTTAATTAACTCTCCGTAAATTCGTTCCGACGAAACTTTAACGACACAAGTCTTTACTTTAGCGATTGTTGAAGTTGAGTGTATCGGTAAAGTTATATTCGGAAAGAATAAACCAGTTTTATTGCTAAAACAAACGCTGTAACAACGAACGTCTACAATACTTCTGGCTGCAGTTCAATTACTCACTATCTACACACACATTACCGCGTCACGTTGTCTCCCTCTTATATATACCCGACTACCCTATATCTAGTAAATACTAGAGCATTCGCCAAAGTACAGGATAGTTCTAGAAACGTGACGTCACAGTAGTCATGTGACTCGCTGACGCAACAATATATTCCAGTTTTTCAGTTAACTGTATTTCGTCTTTCGTGGTATTTGTTTGTTTGAATTTTATGCACAAAGCTACACAATGGGCTATCTGTTCTCTGCCCACCACGGGCAATCAAACCCGGTTTCTAGCGTTGTAAGTCCGCAGACATGCCGCTGTGCCACTGAGGGGGCCTTTCGTAGTATCTGACATTTGATTCATCTTATTTATCGGTTTAAATATAGGGTAGAATATCTGTTGTTTTTAAACACTTTAAATAAACTAGTAGTTAAACCTGGAACATATGGTAAAGTTAAGCCTTCCTTTCTAATTTTTTCATAACTAGGTTTAAAGTACTAATTTGATCAATTATTATAACATTAGTGAATTTCTTAACTACCCTATCTATAATATTTGGGTTAAAACCTTTTTCGACTCCTAAAAATATAATCATTTTGGTTAGTACATATCTTCAAAGCTTTCTTAACATAACTATAGAACGCAGACATTTTTTGTGACTTAGTATGACATGATTCTTGGTATGGGGGCATAAGAACAGAAAAAGGTTTCCGGTAAACTGATGTTTCAAATTACCTTGTACATTCCTTTTCACCAATACATCTAGAAAAGGCTTACATGTTTACATTTTGCATTATTTATGGTTTTAGTTTCAAACATATTGTTACGACGCCCTCTTTTTTAATATATAAGCCGGACAATAAAGCCAGCTGCATAGAGATATGCAGATAGATTGAAGAGATAGATAATTGAGTCAAGCGAACAGTTGG